TTACAGCTTGTACCTGCTAAAAACATCTGTTTTGGTTCTGATTATCATGTTTATCGCGCTGAAATCATGTGTTTTAAACCATATGAGTTTAAACTTCTGATATACGGTTTTCTGAGCGCACACATCCGAAGCACACGCACAGAAAGCGTCTGTCACAGCATGTGAGTACTAAACTAAGTTCTCATTCACACACAAGTTTACGTTAAAAACACACAAGTTACAAAAACAGTTGGTTATTTCTGTGAAGGTAAACTGCTGGGAAATAAATCGCATGTTTATTTTAGATCTGTTTGGCAGCAGCAATATACATTAAATAAATCAATAAATCCACTGCTCTGTTGTCTCCTCTGAGGCTGGGACTCTAAACAGTGTTCTGTGCTCGTCTGTGCAGCCAAACACAGAACAGTTAGCATGTTTTGCTCAAACTTTCTCCATGGCATTAGAGCTGGTACACCGTTGTCGCTTGCGAAATCAAAATGACGGCGTCATGGGTGGAAACGTGCAGATTAAGGGGCGGGGCATTATATATTATAATGAGATCCCTTTGCCACGTCACCAAGCGAGCGAAATCAGACGCGCTGATTTTCTCAGACGCTTGCAGAAAAAGGCTTACCTAAACAAAGTTACTGGGTTAATCTTTTTCACGTTTCCTTTGTTGGTAGATGCACCGGGGACCTGATTATAGCACTTAAAACCTGGAAAAGTCAGATTTTCATGATATGTCACCTTTAAGAATCGATATCGTTCCGTAAAAATGAGAATCGATTAATATCGAGATATCGATATTTTTTACCCAGCCCTAATGTTTACTATCTCAAACATCATTCAAAGCATCTCAGCTTGTCAACAGTCCTTCTTAAATTTGTGCACCTCCTATATCTGATCACATTTCAGGAAGCGAGTGTACATGAAGTCTAAAAGTGGAATATCAAAAGCCTCACTATAATACCACATCACCACAATGAGCAGCAGCAGCAGCATCATGAGAAAAGTGCTCAGTAGGCGTCTGGCCTTCTCTCTGGAAGAAAGAAACACTTCTAAGGGAAGGTGGAGGGGTGAAGCCCAGCGGACGTGTGTAATCTCAAACTGAAGACTGCAAAGAAAACATCTGACGCACGGTTCCTCTTCCTTCCTCTCTTGCACCATGGAAACCCAATGAAAAAACATGCAATACAAATGCCCATTCCTGAACAAGACTCGAGGGGAATCTGAAGACTTTGTGCCAGTTACATCTAACTGGCTTTAGATATGATATGATATTTAATGCTAGTTTTAATTTATGTAACACACGGGCACGAGTGTCTTATTCCTTCTACAAAAAACAGAAACAGAAATATGTTCAAATAACAAAACAATAAACCCAACAGTGAATAAATACTTCAATTAACTAACCAACAATTCTTGACAAGAAATACTGAAAATGTTAAATATTTAATATATAATTTAAAATAAACTCTTCTAAAAATATTTTAAATATTGTGTATAATAAATTATTTTAAATTATATTTATTATTACAAAATAATTATATTTATTTTTTATTTAAATCTTACAATTTTTTAATTGCAATTTGTGTAAATATTGTATACAATAAATTATTTTACACAATATTCACTATCATTACAATTAAAAATATAATACTGTATCTTTATTTATTTAAATATTAAATATTTCAATATGTTCAATTGCAATTTGAGTAAATATTGTGTACAAATAACTTATTTTACACAATATTTACTAATTTATTTGCAAATTCAGTTAATACTGTGTATAAAAATATTTTACACAATATTTACTAATATTACAAAAATAATGTATTTACTTTTTATTTAAATATTTCAACCTTTTTAGTTGCAGTTTGACTAAATATTATATACAATATTTTTTTTTTTACACAATATTTACTTATCAAAAGTATTCTTTCATTTTAATTATCTATTAATTTATTTACTTAAATATTAAATATTTACCATTTTTAATTGCAAATATTGTTTACAATAAATTCTCTTTACATTTACAATATTTACTAAAAGTATTATATTTATTTATTTATTTAAATATTAAATAATTAAATATTTTTAATATTTGAGTAAATATTGTCTGCAATTAAATATTTACTTATATTACAATCAAAAATATTTGAAAACAGAAAATGTATAATATTCAACTTAACAATCGCCTGTCACAGACTTCATTTACAAAACGTACAAACACCAAACATCCAAAGCTATTTTATCAACTCAAAATGATTTCTAAAAATCCCTTTTCGAACCGAACCCACCCAAAAATCTCCTACCTTCTCCCAGCACCATGTCCTTTAGTTTCTCCACAGCCTCTGCGAAGCGGGCGACGTCTCGCAGCAGCGAGGGAATGTCCTCCACCTCGATGACCGATGTTTCCGCAGCCTCCGCCGCATGTCCGTAGGTGAGAGCGGCCCGCACGTAGCCCTTATGGAAGCCCCACGTCCCCGAGGCGTGGAAGGCGAAGCCGACGGCGCTGGCGTGACGGCTGAGACCCGAGGGCCGCTTCAGCGCGCCGACAGGTGGACTGCACACTGTTAGCTTGCAGTGGGAGGACGGTGTTCCCGGACAGGATAAGGGACCCGGATCAGGAGGGGCCAGTGTGCAGGAGCCATCGATAGTGTCGTTGGGAGAGTGTTCCTGAAGAATGGACAACTGGGTTTAACATGGGATGGAAAGAGAGGGACGGAGTGTGAATGACGGATGATTATGGAGATGGATATTACGAACAGGGTTAATGCTACATGGGAAATACTAGTGTTATGAATATGGAGGTGATTGAAACAGAGTCAAGTTGAAAACAAATCCAAATCTATTCTGCTTTATTTGTTAATTATTTAACGCCATATCAGGAGCAAAGGCTATTTTATGACAAACCCAGAGTATCAGAAATTCAAATCATCATAATAACAAAAAACCTAAACGAATCAGTGTTATTTTAGTATCATCAAGATACTATTATAGTTTTTATTAATATTTTGAATAAGTTTGAAAATAGAATTAATGCTATTTATTTAATTAATGATATTTCAATATTTAAAGTAAAGTTTTAACTTTGTGTTTTTGTCACTTTTAATATAACCTGTCTGTCGGTATAAAACTCATTCTGTGGTGATTATAAATAAACAGACTTATTTATAACTACAGGCATTATATTATTAAAGTATTCATTAAAATGGTTTATAAATTAATTGTAAAATAAATGTATGAAATGTAATTTCATTGTATTATTATTATTTATATGCACTTTTTAATATTGCCTACTTTATTTATCAGTCTGTTTAAAACTCATTCAGTGGTGATTGTATTTTAGTACACCACTAAACTAAATAAAACCTAACCAAACTAAATTAGACTTTATTCACTGAAAATCAGAGTGAACATTATTCAGAATTACTACTTTTGTTCTGCACAAAAGAAAAAAGTAAATCATGCCCATATGAAGGTGATTAAATGACAGAATTTTCAATTCTTTACCACATTTTAAAGTGACAGTTCACCCAGATATTATCATTCTGTCAATTTACTCACCTTCATGTGCTTCCAAACCTGTATGACCTTCTTTCTTCTGTGTAATATAAAATAAGATTTGAATCATTTGAATGAAGGTAAATAACATTGAACCCTAGTATTTTTCTAAATATCTTAGTTTGTTAAGTTTTGGACTGACAGTGAGTACTATCCCTTTAGGTTCTCTTGTTATCAAGACACCATTTTGACTAGTGCTGGGCGGTATGACCAAAACCGTATATCACGGTATTTTTCTAAATTATACCGGTTTCACGGTACATGACGGTATTTTTTTTTTTCATGCATGACCGGGTGTGACTGTTCAGGTTTCTCGAGTTCAACCATATGGTTCCATGGAGATTCAACAAAGTAATTACAGGTTCTTCAGATCAGTGCATTACCTGTTAACAGTAAAAGTGAAGCCATTCTAGGTTCACTTCTATTCTATTCTTGTTTCCATCTGGAACTGTACAACTAAACTCTTCTTGTTCTGATATGACTCTTGCATAACTTCCTCTCAGTTTATTTCTGGTATTGTTTGCGAAACAAAGAGCAAGACGTACTCAAGTGTTCTTCACCAGACATTGTTCACCACCAGTGACAGTCTTACAGCAATGTTGATCAACAACATGCACCATTAAACAATGAATTAATTACACTTCGCTCTTGAAACAACTCGCTCTTTTGAACCGATTCTTTTAAATGATTCATTCGAACCGCAATGTGTTCGCAGTCAATCGCTGGACGGGTGTGATCCGGTTCACTGAAATGAATCACCCGAACAAACTAATTCGTTACAAATGAATCGTACCTCCCACACATGCCCAATTCTATACAGAATAGAGTACATTTACTCTTTCAAACATAATTCTGTTGTGAACTAACGTAACGTGACTTGAGGAAATCAACAGGATGAATGAGAACCCATCTGTTAAGCGTTTAAAACAAAGCAAATATTGTAAACGCGCAAGTTTTCTGGGAGATTAAACATGTTTTCTCTCTTAAAAACGTTTATAGTAGTTGAATCAACCTATCACTAAACTGAACTCGGTTTTTAGTTTTCCTCAGAAGTGCCGTTGGTCTCTTACCGAAGGGTTTTGCGCAGAGTTGCTCTTTTTGGAGGGTGAGGACGCTTTATTTGTCGGCTCCTTCTTCTTTCGAGAGAACATGTTCGCGCCGTTTGCTCCACTTCACTGAAACCGCACTAAAACTTTAGGAATGAGCCAAAAAAGTTGTGAAAATGTCTCCTCAGGCGACTGACAGTTACTTCCCCATCATCATCATCATAGTTCAGTTGCTCGCCTCGCGCTCTCCTTCTCTTCCTGCTGCGGCGCGCGCCGGTCTCGAGGAAGCACAGGTTTCTTACTTTGTGTCAAGGTAAAGGACTTTAATGGTAAAAGTAATTATTTTTGGCACACAATATATTGAGGTTCGTTTCGCGGACCTGCAATTGTCATGTGACCAGTGTTGGGCAGTAACTAATTAAATTAGCCTAATTACAAAATAAATGTAATTGTAATTAGTTACAGTTACTGAGAAAATGTCACTGCAGGTGCACAGGGTAAAAAAAAAAAACGAATAGTTATTGCATTACCTAGCTGATTGATTACATTGATAATTGCAAAAAAATTTTGTATTACAAGTTTTCTAAAATATTAGGTTGCATATGCGCTAATTTGCACACATTTCTAGTACAAAAATCTGAACACTGGATGAAGTCAGTTTCAAAATTCTTTAAAGGGGTCATATGATGCGATTTCAAGTTTTCCTTTCTCTTTGGAGTGTTACAAGCTGATTGTGCATAGATAAGATCCCTGAAGTTGCAAACACTAAAGTCTCAAAACCAAAGATATATTCTTTATCAAATTTAAGACTCTGCCACGCCCCCCTAAAACGGCTCGTTCTAACACGCCCCCACATATCTACCTCACTATGTGGAAATATTAGCATAATGCCGCCCAAATGTGCACGCAAAGAAAGAAGGCGTGGTTTCAGTAACCGCAGTTAGTGTTGAAGCAGCATGTCAGGGAGACGCTGTGTGTTTCTAGACGAAAGCAAAAGCACTTTATTTGGCCTTCCGAAACTAGATGCATTTAGGAATCTTTAAGATTACTTACAACAGAACAGCAATGCATTTTATGGACGACCGTTTCATGAACCTAGGAGAGGAGGTAATTCTGATATCAAAACTTAATTTTTGATTAGTAATATGCATTGCTAAGAACTTCATTTGGACAACTTTAAAGATGATTTTCTCAATATTTAGATTTTTTTTGCACCCTCAGATTCCAGATTTTCAAATAGTTGCATCTCAGCCAAATATTGTCCTATCCTAACAAGCTTATTTATTCAGCTTTGAGATGGTGTATAAATCTCAACTTCAATAAATTGACCCTTATGACTGGTTTTGTCGTCCAGGGTCAGATATTAGAGTCAAATGTTTTTACAGAGGGAATTTTGGGTATCTCATTTTTTTTTTTTTTTCACTTCATAATTCAGAAAATACTTAGAACAGACAGAAAGCAATACATTTTCACAATTTTGGGGGGAATAAAATGTATATAATCAAGCAAATTCTATATAATTCCCTCTGTAAAAGCCTTCAGGAGACAGGAATACAAATGTAAAGTTTGGTGTGTGTAAGTGTTACTGAAATGGAGATTTATGGCTCAGTGTAGGAGAAAAAACTCATTTTGAGAAAACGGCCTTTAAAAATATAGTGTAATTGAAATCTATTGACACAAATAAATAAAGTGCTATAAAAGAAACACTTAACAGTGTCTTTTGAATGTTTTCTGTCCACTAGTCTGAAAACACACCAAAAAGCCCAAAATCTCAAACTTGACAGGTGCATGAAAAAACAGTGCATTAATTAAATTAATAAAAAAATAGTAAAAAATGTGTACATGTAAATCTATGTAAACAGATTTAGATGGTATGAGATGGTAATACCATAGTACAGAAGCTGAATGAGCATATTCATATTCTACGATACTCCAATACCAAATGTATGCTGCAAAGGTGGCAACAGAAGCGTTTTTGGCATTTAGGTGTCTTTACACAGTTTGTTAAATGCTGCTCATTATATCTGCTCATATATGCATACTAGGGGCTGAACAGGAATACTTTAGTCTGGCTTTTATGCAGCATTTTATCTTTACACCTTATTATGGGCAGGCACAGAGCATGTTCATATTCTGGTATTAACATAGTATTTCTTGATTAGCACCTCACATATTCCCCCGGGGGGAAAAAACAAACAAACAAAAACACACCTTTGCCAAATTTACAATGCAACAGAATTTACAGTGGCACAGAAGCACTTCTGAAGTGGCATTTAGGTGTCTTTACACAGACTGTTTAATTGCAGGCACAGAGCAGCTTCAACTCAACTGTGTAAAGATGCTTCTAGAAACAAAACCGACCAACATGGAAAAGAAACATTTTGAACAAACTCTTAAAATTTTATTGTTTGTTAAAAATGATATTGCAGTACAATATATTCCTTCTGTTAAATGTAGAAAACGTTCAGAATGAGTCAAAAGGCACATTTGTTTACACTATTTACAGTTCCATCTAAACTCATAAATATTGGGATAAAACAAAGAAGCCCAAAGTAAAAGTGCTGAACAGAATTCTAACTGGAAACATTAATAATATAACAACATCAACAACGACAAATCATACAATCAGTAGCAGTTTTAATAAATGTTTCGTTTTTATTATTAAAGTGTTCATTTGTGATTTCTTTGAATTTTCTGTAAATTCTGGCAAGTTGTCAGGACAAAAGGAGCAGGAACACATCTGAATGGTTGAGTAACTGGAGCCAATCACAGCCTCATGGGAACTGGACTGTTTTGTTCATTACCAATCCAGTTTCGAAACTGCTTGCATAAAAATTATCACAAAAAAAAATATATATATACAGTGGGTACGGAAAGTATTCAGACCCCCTTAAATTTTTCACTCTTTGTTATATTGCAGCCATTTGCTAAAATCATTTAAGTTAATTTTTTTTCCTCAATGTACACACAGCACCCCATATTGACAGACAGAATGGGGTGCTGTGTGTACATTAATGAGGAAAAAAAATTAACTTAAATGATTTTAGCAAATGGCTGCAATATAACAAAGAGTGAAAAATTTAAGGGGGTCTGAATACTTTCCGTACCCACTGTATATCAAAAGCAGAGAACTTGTAGTAATACTCGAGCAATATTCCTATTCAATTCGCATTTTCTCTCATATACTTCCAAGTCTAGAATACGGCAGCCAGGCGTGTAGAATACAGTAGTCAGTATCACGCGTCTTTATCTGCGACGGCGCATTCTTTCCCTCGACTTTTCCTGAGATTAAGCACGACCGAGCCTGCAAAAACTGCACAGAAAACTTTGGTGCGATGGGAATCTAGACGCCCGACCCTAAACAGAAAACTGAAATTTCGAGTGAAAGAATACAGTGGGGGAAATATTTATTTGATCCCCTGCTGATTTTGTAAGTTTGCCCACTTACAAAGAAATGAAGGGTCTGTAAATTTTATGGTAGGTTTATTTTAAAGGATAGAGACCGAATATTAACCAATAAATCCAGAAAAAACACATTATATAAAGGTTAGAAATTGATAAGTATTTGATCCCCTACCAACCGGCAAGAATTCTGGCTCCCACAGATTGGTTATGTGCCCATGTGGAACACAGATTAGTCCTGTCACTTTAAGAAGTTACTCCTAATGTCAGCTGGTTAGGTGTATAAGACACCTGTCCACACAATCTGTATCTTCCTTCCTAACCTCTCCCACCACCATGGACAAGACCAGAGAGCTGTCAAAGCATGTCAGAGACAAGATTGTAGATCTGCACAAGGCTGGAAGGGGCTACAAGACCATCAGCAAGAAGCTTGGTGAGAAGGAGACAACTGTTGGTGCGATTATTCGAAACCTTAAGGATTTAGAGAGAATCTGTAAAGAGGAGTGGATCAAAATCCCTCCTGAGATGTGTGCAAACCTGGTGACCAACTACAAAAAAACGTCTTACCTCTGTGCTTGCCAACAAGGGTTTCTGCACCAAGTACTAAGTCATGTTTTGCTTGGGGATCAAATACTTATTTCACTCACTGAAATGCAAATCATTTATATAATGTGTTTTTTCTGGATTTTTTGGTTGGTATTCTGCCTCTATACGTTAAAATAAACCTACCATAAAATTACAGACCCTTCATTTCTTTGTAAGTAGGCAAACTTTCAAAATCAGCAGGGGATTAAATAAATATTTTCCCCACTGTAAGTAACACGCAGATGCCAGACAGCAGCGCAGGGCAGTGCAGTTCGATTTGGTGGCAGGTTGCAGGCTTTGATTCTGTGTTTTGGGAGCAGGAGAAATCAAATAAAACCCTGACAAGGCATTGGAAAAGTGTTTGAACTTCTACATGTGATTATAACAAAGTCTACCTCTACAAATAATGTCCCTTGGATATAAATAGCAACAATAATAATAATAGTATTAATAACAATAACAATAATAATATGAATAGCAATAGCAAAGACGCCAATACATTTGCTTCCATTCCAACTACACAAGAACACAAGACCAAAAGGAAAAAACATTGACCTCATACATACAAACAAATTAACAAACACACGAATCCGTTTCTTTCTCTTAACAAATATAATATTCTTCAAACACAATGCAAAAATATCACTTCTGAACAGATATAAAGAGAATCGCGAGTTGTTCGTGGGGCAGTATTTGATTTTAATAATATTAGTTTGGTTTTTATTGCTAAGTCTCACTCTCGCACGCATCTCGACGTGAGGTCCAGTGGTTCAGCGCTCGTTCACAACTAAGTCTGCTAATAAATCATTTGATTATTGAGTCCCAAAGCTCACGACGATCCATCCGCGATCTATTATATTTTATAAAATAATCTTTCGTTTGGACAATGATGAGTCTATACGATACCTGAGAAAGTATTCTGCAGAAAGCGATCTGCTCTTGAGCGGCATCTTCCCTATATCGTGAACGAGTCTGTCCCTGTGTTCGGATTATTGAAATGTAGAAAGATTATGAGAAATTCACAGGGTTAAGGGGTCAAACAGCAGTTTCAGAATCATGCGATCGGGTCCGAAGGCCCTCTACGAAGAAGCCCAGGTAGAGGAGACCGACGCCGGAGGAAATAAATAATATAGCACTACTCTATGTCTAGAAATATATATATATATATACGCACACAAGACTGCATCTGAAGGAGATAAAGGCACTGATTTAACAGAAGGCATTCATTAAAAAAAAAAACCCTAGGACAGGAAACAGTATACACCAATATCTTAATAAATAAACATCTCTTTCACCTCAATGTCTGCTGTGATGAAA